AAGAAAAGACAAATCAATTCCCCGATATTGAAGGTTAGTCCACGTCGCTAAGCAATTAAGAATAAGCCTACATACAAAAAATATTATTTTTTATAGGAAGAGAAATACTCCACCTAGTAGCACCAGCGCCCATAGAAAGCGAAACGAGATCTTGCAAAATTCACAGAGAACATGTCCTCCACCCCAAAAACTCATCGCCACGAATCCAATCTATCCGTAATCTGAATGGAATCCAACATCTCCTGTAATTTTTCTAGATGAGACTCTAACACTCCCCCACTTATCAATCTCCTCCATAAAATCTCCCAAGTATTACCAACCCAATAATCATTGATAACCGCATCACCATTGATCGCCATAACAAACAGACTTGGAAATATATCCTTCAAAATGACATCGCCCACCCACACATCCAACCAAAATCTAATACTTGCACCATTACCTACTTTTCTTCTCATAGAATAAAAAAGAATCTTACCATTATTATGAAGATTCCAAACTAAATTAACCACCCTCATCCAAACCCCCGAATTCGATCTACAAGAAGAAGACAAGGAAAAACCACCATCACTCCCATGACAACTTTTGATCAAACTAACCCAAAGGAGATTTCCATCATTTAGGAAATGCCATCTCCACTCGTAAATTAAAGCTTCATTGTAAGCTTTCAAACTATCAATCACCAACATGTCATAGTCTTTCTTATTTAAAATAACCTCCCATTTCATCCACTGAAGAATTCTATCTTGATCTTCAACACCGCAAAAAAATCTAGCCTGTATTCTCTTCAACTTTCGACAAACAGTAAATGGCATCTTAAAAAGAGATAAATAAAAAAATTCCCTAACTCCCCAAAACGGACTTAACCAATGTAAGTCTCCCACCAATAGATATCATTCAATACTTCTAGATAGAAACTCTTTTTTCAAAACTATCCAAAAGTGTATCCCAAACCGCCAACTTATGCGTTTTATTGCCTATAGGTAAACCAAGATAAATAGAAGGAAACAAATTTGAGGTACAACCTATATAGTTAGTGACTTTTTTGACACATATTTGTAGACAATCTAATCCCATAGATCTTTGACTTATTTAAATTGATCTGAAGGCCTGTCGTAATGTAAAAAATCCGAAGGATATGGATAAGACCACACACATTTTCAACATCCCAATCGCCCATAAAAATAGCATCATCGGCATAAAATAAATGTGACATCTATATTTTTGATGACCAATATTCACGACTTTAAACATACCATTTTGAATAGCATCCTTCAAACACAGATGCAACCCTTCCATAACAATAATAAATAAAAAAGGAGATAAATGATCACCTTTTTAGAGACCTCTATACATCTAGAGTTCACCCGTAGGGTTACCATTGAGCAGGATCGATGATCTAGCAGATGTCAGACACGCTTAAATCCAATCTCGCCATCTAACCACGAACCCCATAGCACCAAGAATAAATACTCCTGTGATACCGAATCATAGGACTTATCAAAATCAACTTTAAGATGCATCATCTTTTTCTTTTTAACGGATGCCCATGTAACTACTTTGTTAACCATCAATGCACCATCCAAAATTTGTTTTCCTTTAATAAAAGTCATTTTCACAGGGTGCACAATCTCCCCTACAACCTTAGCTAACCGATTAGCTAACAGTTTAGCAATTATTTTATATTGCAAACCCAGTAAGTTGATAGGCCTATAGCCTTTAATATCAGTAGGACTATCAACCTTACTGATTAAGGTTATAAAAGACAAATTACACCCCCGAGGAAACACTCCCGCTCTATAGAATTCTTGGACCATATCACAAACATCATTTTTAAATAATTTCTAAAATTGTTTTAAGAAACAAGAAGTCAACCCATCAGGCCGAAGGTCTCTGTCGCTACCACACAACCAAATCGCAACCCGCACCACTTCTTCATTAAATTAAGTCTCGAGATCACACACCATTCCTTCACCAAGTTTAATAAACCGAGAACTGGTCCTATTAGGGATACAACCACAAAAAATGATGAAATTGTTTCTGATAGTAATCAAAAACTATTTTTTAACTAAATCAGGTTCCTCGATCCCCCCCCCCCCCCCCAATCAACTAAAATGCCTTTAATCTCCATTTCTTTTTAGCATGCCATGAAACAAATACTATTCTCGTCAGCTTCTGTCGAGGACACTACTACAAAAAAGCTTATAGGACCCGGTTATTTCAATTAAATAACCCGGTTTTGAACCGGGTCCTAAAGCCAGCGGGACCTATGTGAAAAAACGAATAGAACCCGGTTTTAAAACCGGCTCCTATCTAACACAAAAGAACCCGATGGTTCATAAAACTGGGACATATAAGAGGAACATAACGCCCAATATTTGATTATATATCAAGGTTAGGACGTGGTCCAACCATACAAAACCGGGTCATATATGGCTAAAAGAGCCCGGTTCCAATCCCCAAACCGGGTCATATAAAGATTAAATATCACCCGGTTCCATTCAAATAACCGGGTCTTTTTCAACCTCAAAAACCAACTACAATCACAATACCAGAAAGCATGGTTATAAGAATTAAATTGGTGACAACTTTATTCAAATAACCATATAAAAAGCACAAACTGATACTTGCATCCAAAACACACATTCAAAACAAAACAAAAATTATGCATTGATGAACAAATTATATTAATATAAACATGCTAAATAACCAATCATTATAGTCATCGATAAAAAAATTCTTTAGTGCCGCTAAAAACTCCTTGATTTGGTCATTTTATAGTACATAAAACTTACATAAATAAATTCAAAAATAAAACTGTTTTCCCATGCAGAGGTATTGTCCAATAATCAAGTGTTGCAGCTATCCTCCAACCTCACTTAAAAGCAAAACACAACAGCTATCATTCATCCTCACTGAAAAAAACAAAACACAACAAACAATTAGTTTTTTGTCTAGCATTTTAAAAGAGTTGAATTTAGCAAATAATCATTAAACTAAAAGTAGAATGTTATAAAGATTAACAACTAACCTTATATGTACTTTCAGACAACCACATCGTTCATAAAATTTTTCAGAAATTCTCTGGCCCATGTAGCAACAGTTGTAACCAACGCCTTTTCCTCAAATGCAGTTTTGTCATTGCAAAGGGTACCAAACTATATTAAAATAAAATTAAAACTACTAAATAACGAAATAATTTGTTTCTTGCTTTAGAAGAAAAGATTTTTTAAGAAGTACTTACTCTACTCGGAAATCCATGTTGTCTGTTCAACACAAAATCAAAGATCCAATTCATTACATAATGCCCACTCAGCTCACGTTCCAATACACCGGCTTGGTTGCACTAAAATTGTGATAGAAGGTAAACACAAATCACAAATGAATACAATCCAACATATCTGAATTATCAATATCCGCCAACTTTTGAAGATCATTTTGTCTCTTGGCCATAATCTTAACCAATGCAGCCCCATCATCCACCAATTTTTTAAGTTCTACGAGACGGGAAATATAATTTTTTTCATATTTCATCTTTAGATGCACGCATCAACAAATGCCACTCCTTAATCCTGTTTTTAAAAAATTTAAGTTTATTTTTCAGATGAACAAACCTACTCCAACTAATATCTGAAACAAACTCGACACATGCTAAGTGAATAATCTCCAAGAAACCATCCATCATAATCCAAAAATTACAAAGTTTGAAGGAAATTGGACCATAGTCTAACGCATCATCAAATAAAAGAACCAGACAATGATCACCAGACAATGATCAGACCAAAGTCTCTCTTTAGCCAAGCAATGCAGATCAGGAAACACGTCAATCAAGCTTTCCGAAACCAAAAATCTATCAAGACGACTCATTTTATTGTCGACCCTATCAACCCGAGTAAACTTCTTCCCGTCCATAGGAATATCCACCAAACCCGCTTCATAAATGATCTCATTAAAGGCATTCTCTTGAGAATAACTAAAAACTGATCGATACCTTTCCCCCTCGATCTAACAATGTTGAAGTCACCAATGGTAAACTGTAAAATATTCCACAAATCTCGCTTTTTTCGAGCCTCCTGAGGAGCATAAACATTAAAAATAGAACAATTAATATTTTTACTAACCCATTTTCCTTCGACTATCACCACATTCTCTATGTAAAGAACCTTATCTTTCTTGAACACCAAAGGATCCCAATCCGAGAGGATTCCCCCCGACTGACCTCTTGCATTAGTACACACAAAATCAAAATTCCCATTGCCCCATAAAGGGTGGATTTTAAAAAGATTAACATATTTCATCCTTGTCTCCTGTAACCCAAGGAAATTAACATAATGATTATTATACAACTCCTTTACACAAGATCTTTTTTCTAAGATCTAATACCACAAATGTTAAGAGAGAAACAGTTCATTTAAACTTAATCACACCCATGTCAACTAATTTTTTCTACAAGTCTTCTTTAGCATTCTCCACATCATACCCCCAACAGCTTCTCCAATTCAATAAATTTACTATCTTTGTTACACGACAATAATTCTTTATTTGGCGCCATTTTCCTCAAAGAATGAACTGATGTTGTACTCCATGATTTCCTGACCTCATTCCGATGATTAGAAACACGACTATCCTTATGTCGATTCGTAGAAAAGAAGCGATGAGCTCCAAAACCTGGCAGTTCAGACTGTCCCGACCCACTATACCCCTAAAATGATTATTTTATTATTCCTCACTTCTTTTGAAGGTCGAATATGCTCATTGATATTTTCATCTATCATATTATCTTCACCACCACATCCCACTTGATTACCCCTATGAGTTTCACTGTTTTGGGATGCGCCATGTAAGTCTTTTTCATGATTATGATGTTCTCGCTCTTCATCCTTATAATTATGTCCATAGAATTTAAACACCCCATTTATAACACTATCTCCAACTACATCTTTATTCAAACCCACATCCACTTCACCTTCTTGAAAATTATCATTCCCATTTTCTAAATCCTATTCCCCATCTTCATTGTTTCCAAACTCATCCCATTTACCTTCATCCATAAATCCTTGAGATAAATCATCTGTCTCAACAAACAAACCATCGTCATTAACATCCTGTTCCTAAGAAAAAACATCCTTAATATGAACCTAGAATTCCTTTCCATCAATCACCACATCAATTTTCTCCTGAATAGTTGACATCACCCTCATCCTATCACAAGCCTTCCGTAATGACATGCAATTGGACTCATCATCATCAGAGAATAAAATAGTGCCCCAAAAGATTCCAACTTCTTAAAAACACAAGGATTCCATGCACAAACGAGCAAACCAATAATTTCCAACCAAACAAACGATACTCCAATACAAATTGAATATCAATAGCTCTTATTCTAGAAAAATATACTTTGAATTCCAGCGTTAGAACTAAAAATCTTGCAAGACTTTTCTGCTTTAAATGACACCCATACCTACAAATCACCAATATATCTAATCTTTAAACTCAAAAAACCTTCTTCATTACATAATTTTATAAGTTTAGCAATAGATTGTGCATCTATCACCTCAACAAAGATTATGGTACAAACTTCTGTCATCCTTGTTAGTTCCCGACTGCCAATCTTCACTTTCTTCATATCCTTATCAGGAACAACCTTGCTAGTTCCTTCTCCTGTAACAGCCCTAGCAATGGATTTCCCTTTATCAATAAAAGATGATCTATTTTCCCGCTCCATGTTTTTCATTGCTGATTTGGAATGGAATGGTTAAAGATAACCTATTCTTTTCTTTCAAATCGAGCAATAGAAGCAAAAATATGAAAGTTACCAAACCAAATGTCACTTTACTTCTTCTCCAGTTCTTGATTATCTCTAACCGGAATGAATCGAACAAACCCAAATCTTCTCCCCATCATGGATCGTTTCTGAGCAACGTAAACATTAACCACCATTCCTATCTTCTCACATTTGTTCCACAAATCCCTTGGTTAAAGATCACTTGGAAAATTTGTCACATAAAAAGACATAAATTTTTTTTTCTGTTGATCCATGAACTCCACATGTCGAATTATACGTATATTGATTAGATCCCCCTTTTGCACCTCTCGACTGGTTATTCCTGTCACACTTTCGTATTCTTGCCTCCCGTCATTCAAACTTATCCTCCCTCGTGATGACACAATCAACAACATGTACTATTGAAATTTAAACCCAACACAGCCCCACCCCACCCGACAGAGAACGTGAGGCGAACCAAAACCAAACAACTGGAAACAGCAGAGAAATGAAATGAAAAATTGACTATCAACTCCGGCTACAAAACTCATTCGACGACGTTTGATCCCGACGGATAGAACTTGACGCCACTTTGCCTCCGAAATCGTCAGACTAATAAAATCGGATTGGCCAATTTCCCAACTCTATTACCCAACGGATAAAACCTTTTACACGACGGACAAAAGGAAGGTGTGAGCAGAGGCAGTGAGAGAAACTGATCAGGACGCAAAATGAAAAGATTCACGGAGAGCGGTGTTGGTCTACAGATGTTTGCACCCGTCGTAGAAGAAAAACCATTGTTTACCAAACAGACAATAAATACCCAACGGAGACCCAACATATTCTACTAATTTTAACCTTTAACTAAATTACATCTCGATTGGTTAACATTTTTATTTTTATTTTTTTTTAAATTAACTAATCTATCCCCATCTATCTAGAATGTTCTATAAAACTTCTATTTTTTAAACATATATTGTATCTAAAAAATGTCACAAATAATAAAAATATAAATACAACTATGTCGAGAATTATATATATATATATATATATATATATATATATATATATAAAATACAAAATAATTATTACTTCATAGTTATAAAAATAGAAAAAAAAAGATTGTAAATGTTATAAAACTTGTATAAGTTTATATTGTATACAAAAATTGTCATTAATATTTAATTGATAAAATTAATTAATAAATACATAACAAATATTTAAAATTAAAATATAATTAAGGGTAAAAAAATTGGTTAAAGAATGAAGGTTAATTTTTACTAAGCATAAAAATATATTGACCATTTATTATATATAGTGAATGGTCAATAAAAAATCAATAAGTTATATGTTTCAATAATAAAAGATAATCAATAAAATAATAATAAACAATATAACAAGCTCCAATTAAAAAATATCTAATATTTCTAACAGGCAAAAATATCGTTTTATAGATCGTTTTATTATTAATATGTATCATTATGTTTTAAGAACTATGTGTAAACTCGTGTATTACACGGGTTGATAAAAAAATAAAATATTAAAATATAAATAATAAGTATTTTTTAAAATAAAATTTTGAAATAAGGAATGAAGAAACATATTAATTGCAATTTAGTATAATATTTATTACATTTAATACTTTACATATATAACTATAAGTATTATGTGGTTTTTTAATTTTAAAAAATAAAAAAACCATAAATTGACATATGGATATTATTTATTTAAAAATTCACAAAATAACAAGTGTCAAAACTCATTAGAGAATGACATGTAGCAAAAAAGTTCTTTACTTATTAGGGATGATTTGTCAAATTTATTTTATTTGATTTATAATGTAAAAATTGATAAAATATTAATAAAGATACAATTAAATGCTCTTTGATTATAAATCTGTTTATTAATTAAGAAGTTTATATAATAAATAAATTACTTAATTATTAAATACAATGAAAACATCAGTATAGCAGGCTTGAACGCATTTCAATTTCTAGAATATATAGCTCCATATAACTTTCGGATAATGTTTGAATGGGAATTGAAATAAATCTAAGCCCAATAGCCCATATCTCTTTAGCTGAATATTTGAATGAGAATTGCAGATCTGACGAATCATGTGGTGTACTTATTTTTTTATTTTTTATTTTTAATGTTTTTCAAGTCAAAATATTTATAAATGACACACAAGTGATGTATAAATATTTTTACGTAGTTTAATATATATATATATATATA